TATTGCAATGTAGGATATTTCCCTATTTTGCATATTTGACTTCAATCTCATTCCCTATACATTTCATTCACGGTCATGGCGATTAAAGCAGAAATGATTGCGTAACCATGGCAAAAACAAGTAATTAAAGTGACAGGCAAATTAAATCAATGCAAATTTTTGTAGTAGATACAAGAATAACTGACCAACGAACCAAAAAAAAAAAGTAAAATGTTGCCAAATGAATGAATAAATGAAAATACTATCTGAACTCACGATGGTTGTTTAGCAAATCTATTAGCCTTAGCGTTGATGAATATATAGTGTGTTCCAACTGAAACCAGAACAATTGCTAATGTCGCTTAAAATTAATGAATCAATTTGACTATCAGCTCCCCCATTCGCTGTCGTAGCCGAAAAAATTAAAGTATAACGTATTTAGGCCTAAGCCTGTTGCCCATTGGTGCATTTAATTTTGCTTGAATAATGCGTTTCCAAATCTACAAGACAGCAAATTTTATGTATAGGTACGTTTGAGGTATCTCTATTAGGAAATGTATTAAGCCCTTCGAAGGACCAAGTACTTATAATGTTAGCGAAACTCTTATAGATTATTTTAATGAACGTCTCCCGATATTACGTTCGATATGGTGGCATTTGGTATTCATTATAAAAGAAACGTTACTTAAAAATTTAAATTTTAAATTTAGGTAACTGAAAGTGATTTAAATTACAAATAGGTAGCTTGTGTTGCATTACGTCGGCGCACACGTAATCATTACATAGAAAAATCAGTACTTTTGTACCTTTTGCAATGCTAAAGAGCGCTGTGTTAATTCCTGCCGATTCTGGTCTTAATTTGTATTACGTCTCAAAGCAAGTATATTGCCTACATAAACGGAGGGTGAGAGTCACTCTTTAAAGCGGGCAATAATTTCAGAATTATTTAAAGCCTTCACCATTCTAAAGTTTCCACAGTCTAAATATTTAAAATTCTTGTGTCTTCTGTGTTATCAAAAGCGCCAATTTCAGATCTTTTCAAGCCATCAGAATCCAAAAGATTCAAAATTCATCATTTTCCGTCGTAAATTCAGAAAATCCTGAGGTAGCAGCTAGGGTAGTAGCTCGGGTAGTAGTTACAACAAATTTAAGAGTGTACAGTTGCGGTTCCCGATATCTAAATTTGTAAAATTATTGACACTTACAACTGTCTAAAGCGAAAATCTTGACTGTTGATGTTTTATCACTAAGAGCGCAAATTTTATGTTTTTTAAAAAGCCTTCAGAATCCCAATTCGGCATTTTTTCAATCGTAAATACCGAAAATTATGAGAAGGTAGTTTCAAAAATTTTAAGGGGGGCTCTGGGGATCTGAATTTTTAAAGTTCTTGGCATATTAAAAACTTTCCAAGGCAAAATTCTAAATTTATCGCTATTTTACCATTAACCTCTTTGTGCCCGATGTATGATATTATTGATACCAACCAATAAGTGCACAGCCTATTTGAATTATGGTTACAAGAGGTGCAATCTGTTGGTTATTTACACCAAGCTTGATTTATACTATTTATTTATATTATATTTCTAAATTTACCAAAAAAAATCATTTGACGAGATATGTTTAAATGAGTGCTATACACAATTAAATATTTTTTTAAATTGGACACAAAGAGGTTAAGAGGGCAGGAAAACAAGAGGGTAGTGGTTACAAAAAAGTTAAGAGTGTAGTTTCTACCTATTTCTAAAATTCCTGGCCGAACTCCTGGTTTTATTGCTGTTTTCTGTTGTTAATGATACTTCAAACAATTTTAAGAAGGTTGGGGTTTCTTTTTTTAACAATCCGAATATGAAACAAAAGAAATACAGAGTAGTATAGAACAATTTGACAGAAGGAAGGAAGAGAGCATGGGATGGAATTTAAACGAATAGTGTGAATAGCGTGAGTTTTCAATATTTAAAGATTCCCCTACTTTAGTCACTTTAAACTCACACACAGAGTGGGCCATACGAAAATACCATTTTCAAGGAGTTAATTTCATTCTGGTATTGAAAGACGATCTAGCCCAAAATCACCAGATAAAAATAAAAAAGTTTTGAAATTTGCCGTTTTTTTTTAATTTTTATTCAACCTAGACTGACACGGTCAATCAGCGCAAACCTTGGTCTGTCTGTTTGTCGATCTGTGTACGATAAAACTCGAAATACAATCGTTTTTTTGTTTAATTTTACATTCTGGCACGCACATTCTGAGAATCATGTGAATTTTTGTGTAGTACTCAACAACGTCTGGACTAGTGCCAAATGATAAATTTGAAAAAAGAATACACAGTTTTCTGGAAAATGATGCTCCGTTCCGCAAAAAAAATTAATTACTACCGATCGACTTTCATTGCGATAGAGCCGTTACAAAGCGAATTCTGCCAGCCATTTTCTTTTTCATCACACTTTGAAGTGATGAACTAGAACGCCATTCAACGTGGAAACCTTATAAATGCGGTTTCGTGATCGTTATCCTGAATATCCTTCGGTTCAAAGTACTTTAATTATAAATTCTGTTACTTCTATCGAGTCTTTTTCTTTTTTTTGTAAGGTCAATTCCGTCGATTGTTTACGTTTCAGTAAGTACGAATTCAATCGGAAACGTGGACATTTTTTGCGCGCTTAATAAAGCCGTTTCCCTATTTCAGTTCGATAATGCGCAGAGGGTTATTAATGGTAACAGGTGGACGCGGACATCGTTTTTTATGCACAAAATCCGTCCCCTCCGCCACGTTTATATTCCCCGCGAATTTATTATTTAAGCTCCCTAATGAATTATTCAATTATTTAAACATATTATATCTGACATTTATGGAAGAGAAGGTTTAAATTCCACTTTGTAATGCGTAAAAGGGGCCGAAAAAGTGCGTTCGATGACGTGATCGAAGGTGACCACTATAAATTTTTTTTTGTTCAGCTCGAACGTTTACATCAACTCTGGCTTTTCTGTGCTGTAAAACCTAAAACGATACCATCGGACTAACATGTTACTGTCGGCACACATTAAACTTTTGCATATTCAAACAATTTAAATTAAACAAACCTATTTTACTGATAGTTTATGTCTACTTTGGTAATTTTATAATGTTTACTAATTCGAGAAAGTGTTTTTTACTTAGACTTTTAGAAATCCATGAAACACCCATCAACATTCGTTAATGTAGACGGCTATTGGCGCCAAAAGTATGTACGTGATTTTTGGGTAGATAATTTTTCAAGAGAACTATATTTACCTAATAATAACGCTGTGTGCTGTGATTATTATTAACAACAAAACGCTTTGACGATCACAAGTGCAACAAAATTAGGCACAGTTGGTGTCACGCCCTGATCTAAAGTTATCAGGTGCCGAAAGAAATAGAAGCTAGTAATTTAATGAATTCTGCAGGAAACTTGAAATAGAAATCCTAAACACACTCTCGAAGCGAAAAAACAGTGAAGAAGTTTGCAATTCCGATCCAGCATAAATTAAACCTAACGATTTAGAATGCTGAAACATGAAACTTGGAAGTGTAAAGCAATTACCAAAATTTGATGATCTAAAAGCTCGATGCTTGTAGCGCAAAAATACAAAGTTTTACGCCTTGATCCAAAATCCGAATTCCAAGCATAAGGCACATGGAACCTGAATCGAATTTTCTCAAAAATTACGTAATAGGTATAAAAGCGGCGAGGGGTCTATCTTCATGCGCATTTATAGGGTGAATAGTGAACCTTTATTGACCCTCAAAGAAACGAAAATATTTGATGCAAAACAGAAGTTACAACACTTCAAGGGACATTGCCATACCTACTAAAACTAAATCATATAGAATTTCCCTAGAAAATGACGTAACGTAAAAACCACGAAGATCATGCACATTTATAGAGCTGACAGTGCATCTTCAAACCATAGTCTAACAAAGAAACAAAAATATTTGACGCAAAACAGAATTTACAACCTTCCAAAGGATGCTATACTAAACAACATCCAATTTTTCTAAAAAATTACGTAACGTGAAAACCAGGAAGCTGTATATGTTCATAGGCTTTATAGGGGTTGACAGTGACCCCAGGAGGGTGTATATCTTCACTTCACTGTATCATAAAAATTTTTTCTTCTCGGAGTTCACAATCCTAGGATTGATTGGACGGAGTCCTACACCCTTTCCTATCCTGCGGTAATCTATTCATTTCTACCCTTGTCTACGTCTCTGACTATTTGGTCTATGTATTTAAGCCTCTGTCTTCCTACCCTTCTCTTGCCCTCTGACTTTCCTTTTATAGCTGCATAGATGTACTAATCCTCCGTGTCTGAGCGCATGCCCTATCATTCTATCTAGTCTTCTCTGTACGGTTTTCCATATTTCCCTATTTTCCTGTACTAGCTCCAAGACTTCTTCGTCTGTTACCCTGATCATTCAGATAATCCTCATCCATCCCTACACATGTAAATGCCAAACGAACCAATAACATAATAAACCACTGCCCCCCCCCAATGAAGTCTGAAATTGAAAGTATTTTCCATTTACCGATTATTGGTTTTAAACTTGTAAAATTGTGATTAATTAAAGCTTCGAGTATTTCGATTTGGCTTCAAATTTCAGATTCACAAGTTAACTTTAAAACTAAGGGATGTTTGATGTAGATTTGGCGCTAAGGGTTAAAGTCACTCACTCCACAATTCAAACTTGCATCAGGTAGCTAGCTTGGGCTACAAGTTGCAGTTCTGAAGCTTCAGATTTCAGATTGTTTCTGGGATTCAACAATTGTATTTCAACTTCAATTTCGATTCAGGGTTTAGGGTCGCACCGCGTTTCCAGTTTCCTGTTTTCACGCTTACAGGTTTCTGTGGTATGCTTTAAATTTCCAACTTAAAATGCTACAATCTGAACAGCTCAATTTAAGCCTGAAAGCCAGAATCAAATTGCTTAACAGTCCAAAACCTAAAACCCGAAAGCAGTCGCTTCCAAGAAAATTTGATAATAACTTATTTAGGCCTGTAATTATCTATTTTAAACAACTCTAAGTCGAGGAAATAACGATACAAATTTGTGGCGATAATGTCCATACTCTGATTATGCTTGAGGTACTGTACCGGTGTATTCCCAAAGAAACTTAAACAAAATGAAGCTATAGACTACCACTAAACACATAAGTAATTTAGTTGTAAGTGAAGTACCGAACTCATCTTTCTCTTCAAAAGAATCATTCGATTCCGTTCTTGCTAGCCCCTCACTTACACCAGGTAATGTCGATGGCACGTCAACGTTCTTTTTCACATTGCCCCCGCGATGATAATGCAGAATATCCACTGCCCGGGGCGACTTTTGATTGTCAAACCAGTTTGCCAAATCTCTCACGGAGTTTGTTCTGCCAACCACGTTCGGATCACCCCAAATTTGCACCCTCTCGCTAGCTACATCCGCTTCGGGCCGTTTGCAAAATTCAATAACGATCCCTTCGGCGTGCTTCACGCTTGAATATTTCCGTCATAAAATATGCGTTTTTACGATCTACTTACGTGCGTAGAGATTGTGTAAGGTGTACTTTAATTACAACGTCGCAAACGGGGTGGTTGCCCCATTTCAAGTATTTAAACTCCGGTTCGACTGTGGAAAAAGCGCGAAGTGCTTCGCTGATTGCCTTTACCAATCTTTCTTGCAGTTCCACGTTCATATTTGCACTGATAATTTTGCTGTCATAACCTCCACTGACAGTTTTTATGACACTTGTATTATGAAATGCTGAATCCGAATTTGGGACAACCAAATAAAAATTAAAGTGCATTAAATGTCCTACAACTCAGGCTCATTAGCGTTTGACTACAAAAATGTGGGTTTTTAAAGCAATTTTGGTCATTTCTCAAGAGTACCAAAAAGCCATTTGCGACTCTCTTGGAGTAGGTACAAACTGACCGTATTCTTGGCACTTAATCCCGTTTATTAATAACTTCGTGTATCTTAACGAGCGCTAAAGATTCAGATGAACAAGACTGATAAATGAATAGGGAATAAGGTAATTCTCGAATGCGAACCGGAAAGGCATCCATTACATAAATACCGTGGCCATAAATTATATTGTAAAGCACCCAAACGACTTGTGTGATACGTCGCTTAAAAACGTCTTCCACGAAAAGTCGGATTTTATGTTGTAACATGCAAATATGATCTTTTTATTAGGGCGTTCACATGGTACTTTTTGTAATAAACAAAGGAACTGTTCACGAATTGTATTAAAAAATATGTTGGTTTTAACGTACCCGTTTTACGATGCGATACGCATTTTTGATAGGCACGGCACGTGAGGATGCATCGAATTTATTATTATTCCAGTCCACCACGTAAAGGTAAAGGTAAAATTGGTAGTGATCGAATAACCACGACGAAAGTTATAGCCAAAAATCAACATGACGAACAATGAACTTGAAATTTGAAGCACGAAATCTGAAGTGAAACTTCAAAGTGGAAACTGAATCAAACATCCCCTTTGTCTAAACTCTGAATTCACACTTTACTGACTTTAAACTTTTAAGGTCTGACTTTGGGAAGACACTGTTCGTAGAAAAGTATCCAGAACATCTGGTCGACCTTTTCAGCCCTTTCCAGAGCCTTCATTGCTTTTTAGGTTCACCTAGCTTTGGGAAGGGCCTCTTTTACACAGATTTTTCTCGGATTTTTAAAGCCTTCCAAGGAATGTACTACTAAAACTCTTTCCAGGATCTTACAAGGCGTTGGAGAGTGACCTGTTTCCATGTTCAGAATGCATTTCCAAAAAAATGGAATGACCAATTCTAATTTTCAAAATTCCGAAACTGGAAAACTGGGATTTCTGAATTTTCCTATAGATTTTCGTAGATTATATTGTGACTTAAGCAAACATTTTCCGATTTTCCATTATGTTTCGAACCCCAAACAAATCTTACACAAACAACTTTGAAGGAAATAGAACGCTATTAAAGACGAAATGTTAAAGGAATGAAGGTAAATTATGAGTTCATTCGGGGAAATTTAAGTTAATGCGCGAAAGGGGATTTAAGATAAACAGTGCTTCCCAAAAATGAATCGTAGTTAACTCGAAATGTAATGGAATCTTGAAGAAATTCTGCAAAAATAATGTGAAACTGAATTTTGGAACATCTAATCATCCCTACCATCGTAGACCAAAAAGTACTACTCTAGTTAACGTAAATGAAATTATTGGTTCTTATTGAGTATTAATTACGGTTTAATATCCGATTACCGAGTGTCAGATGTTAGCATTGCTTTCGCAATATTTTAAGTACCGCGCTATTCACTACCCCTCTTACTTGTTTGTTTGTGTTATCTGTTACCGATTGGCAGAAAGCGCCTTTCTTGAGCTCAACAAGACCGCTGCGACCTGTAGCTCAAAAGGTAATTTTTTTATTTTCGACGACTCCTTGATATACGTTTGATTACATCCTAAATCTACAGCCGATAATTTTCAGATTAAATGTGAAATTAAACAGTCTACTAATAATTTGTTTAAATGTTTTCATTTTCTGGGAAACAATTATTGAACTAACGGCTTTGCTTGTATTGTTATACCATACAAATATCGATATTTTTCGAAAATCTGGTAGGTACGTATTTTATTCAAGGGTTGTTTTTTTTTTTTTTTAATTTAAACCTGCATCCACCTTTCGGTTATTAGCAGCGGAAATTTAGGTACAATTTGGTACCTACATGTAGATATCCTTAGATCTGTGAGATAACCTTAATGTCTTTTAAGTAGTTCATAATTTGAATAACGTTTTTTGAACCTTTTAATAGAGTATTTAAGTTATTGTTTATGTTATGTTTTTGTCGGTGTTCACGATGTTTAGCACACTCTGTTAAAACGTGTTTTACGGTTATTGGTACCGTGCACCTGTCGCAGAGGGGCGATGCGCTATGATTTAATAAATAATTGTGCGTCATCGCCGTATGCCCGATTCGTAGTCGCGACATTATCACTTGTTGGCGTCGTTTTATAGGTGTGTCGTTCCATGGTTCCACTGTAGCTTTGACTTCTCTAAGTTTTGAATTGGATTGGTTCCATTCTTGTTGCCATTCTTCGCGCACTTTTCTTTTAAAAAAATGTTTTAGGTCACTAGGGGTTGTGAGAGATATTGGGTTGTCTGATTCGAGGGCGCGTCGCGCTAAGGTATCAGCGAGCTCGTTTCCGGTTATCCCAACGTGAGAGGGTACCCACATAAAGTTTGTAACAACGTTTTTAAGCGCCAAGTTATTTAACATTTCTTTAATGTTTTGTACTATTACATTGTTTGGGTACAGATGTTTAAAGGCTATATATTACGCTCAGCGAGTCTATTATTATTAGAAAATGCGTTTGGTTTTGGGAGTTTTCTTCCTGGTTGATGTATTCGAGTGCCTTGTATACTGCAAATGCCTCGCCGGTGAATACGCTGCATGAACTAGATAGCTTGTAGATTAGGCTTGTGGTTGTAGAGTATACAGCTGCTCCAACTCCATCTTCGCATTTGGAAGCATCCGTATACACTGTTTTATACCCTGGAAACTTGCTGCGAAGGGTATCTTTAAAAAGGTTCCTGAGTATTGAAGGGTTTGTTTCAGACTTGGTAAAGCGGGTGAGGTATGTATTGCAATTTGGAATGCTGGTGGTCCACGGTGGTGTAAGTTCGTTGTTTAACGGTAGGGCATTGTCGGTAGGAAAACTAACTTGGAGGTTGTTTGTGAGTTGGTTTAATCTATGGTAAAGAGGTTGATCTAAATGTGGTTTGGTCTGGGAGGTGTTGTAAAATCTGTTGTCGAAGACGTTTTGATAGGTGGGGTTTTTTGTTGAGATTGATGCTGCATAGGCTAGGGTTAAGTATTCTTTTCTCCTTTCAAGAGATGGCTCTCCTGATTCGCATAATAAGCTTTGTATTGGGCTGGTATGAAAGGCTCCAATGATTGTTCTAATGGCCGTGTTGTGAATTGGGTTTAGCAGCTTTAGTTGGGATTTTTTGGCGGATGCGTATACTATGCTTCCATAATCTATTTTTGACCTTATCAATGCATGATATATTTTCATTAGAGTTGTACTATCTGCTCCCCAGTTGCTGTGGCTCAACGTTTTTAGAAGGTTTAGGCCTGGCTGGCATCCTCTTATTATTTGCTGTATGTGAGACTTCCAATTTAGTTGCTTGTCAAAGGTCATACCTAAAAACTTAATGGTCTCGACAAAATTCAAGCTAGACCCTTGAAAATTTAGCTGTGGTGTATTAGTATTTTGCATTTTGGAAAACATCACACATTTTGTTTTTTCTTTTGAGAATTGAAAACCACTGTGTTCTGACCAAGTCTCAATGCTTTTTAATGATTCCTGTAGCTTGGTTGTTATTGTGTCGATATTTTTACCTCTCATGTACAGGACAAGATCATCTGCATATAATCTGAATTTGACTGGCCGCTTTAAATGTTCTACTAGTCCGTTGATTGCTATGAGGAAGAGGGTGACACTTATAACAGATCCTTGAGGGATTCCATTTTCTTGTATCATTCGTTTTGACAGGGTGCCATTTACTCGAACTCTAAACGAGCGATTTCTTAAGAAATTTTGGATAAAGTGTAGAATATTTCCTTTGAAGCCAAGGTGATGTAGGTTTTGAATTATTAGATGTCGCCAGGCTGAGTCGTATGCCTTTTTGATATCAAAGAAGATTGCTATGCATTTTTGTTGGCAAGCAAAAGCTTCATGGATCTCAGTGTCGAGGTCTATTAAATTATCGGTTGCGGAGCGATGTTTTCGGAAACCGCTTTGGTATGGGGTAAGAAGATTTCGTGTTTCGAGTGTCCAGGTTAGTCTTCGGTTTAGAATTTTTTCCAATAGTTTGCACATTGCACATGTCAGAGATATTGGTCGGTGTGATTCTGGGTTAAGTTTGTTTTTGTTGGGTTTTGGTATTGGGATTATTATAGATTCTGACCACCTGATGGGGAATTTGTTTTGGGTCCATATAACGTTAAATATGTCTCATATGCTCCTTTGCGTTAGCCGGTAAGTTCTTCAACATCGCAATTGGGATGTCGTCCGGTCCAGGTGAGCATTCTTTAGAGTCCATCAGTGCAGCTTCGACTTCGTTTTTGGAGATGTCTACGTTGATTGGGTCGTATTGCGCTCCGTTGTTATTTATTATGATGTTTTCCTCTTCGGCAATTTTGTGTGCTTGGAAGGTCTCATTGTAGCTATCGGTACTGGAATACGACTTGTAGTTTTCGGCGAGGGCGTTTGCTATATCCCTCCTGTCAGATAGGAGAGTGCCGTTGTATTCTAGGGCGCTTAAGCCGCTGTACACGTTTGCTCCCGAAATACTTTTAACTTTTTCCAGACTTTGGTTAGGGGAGTTGATTTATTTATACTATTTACATATTTACACCAAGATTCCTTTTTGATTTTTTTAAGGATTAATCTTACCCTAGCCCTTGAGTTTTTAAATTTTAGCATGTTCTCGATAGTCTTGTGGCGTTTATATCTGTTTAAGTTCTTTTTGTTGCATACCACTTTCACGTCAAAAACTTTAAAAAGTTTGCATTTATTTTCATGTTCAAAGATCAACAGATACTAACTTTAGTAAAAATTGTAATTTATTCTAGTAATAATTAGATACAAGTTACGTTATGATGATGAACACTGCATCAAAAGAAAAATTATTGTACATCAAGTCTAACTGGATATACAATTATATAAATCGCAAGTTTATGGAGATTCACATAAAAAATGTTATTAAACAAGAAATGTAGATTCAAATCCCATTAACCATTGCGTAATCCTTAACGAATCATTATATCGGATCAGATAATGAATCGTTTTTTTTATATTAACTAGTGCGACTACGCAGGCTCGTTTTACGGGATTACAATTTAATTACAGGGTGTAAATCTCAATGGATGAGATGACAAACGGTAAAAATATCATGGATTTTGTTCTACCAACTTAATCTCGGCGTTAACCAAATTAAATTAAATTAAATTCCCTGTGAAATGAAATTGTTTTGTGGTTTTTCCGACGAAACTTGTATGTAATTAAAGATTTGGCTCTACCAACTTAATCTGGACCTTAACCAAAGGGAGATGCCATAAAATTTAAGCCTTCCCCATAAAATCAATTTTTTTGTGCTTTTTCCGACAAAATTTGTTAAGCAATGGAAGATTTTGTTCTACCAACTTGATGTGGACCTTAAGCAAAGAGATACAACAGAATTTACGCCCTTGAAGTAAAACGAACGAACTCATGGCGAACAAATGCTGAACTATTGCACGAAAATTGCCAAGGTAAAGCCTTTTAAAAAGCCGTTTAAAAAAAAATCCTCAGTACCGCAAATATGTCAGCTGGACAAACGGTAGAAATGTATTGGTGTGGGTGGTAGTTACGTAGAGAAATAAAATTTGTTGAAGCTTTATACAGTTTTCTTCATACTAAAAAAACCGCCCTCGTACCGTAGAAAATGCTATTTGATAACGTCGTTGGATATCAACAAATAGGTACAATATAATGAATAAATAATTATAATGAGATCTATACTTACAACAAACTTTATAAATAGTGAACAATACAAAAAAAAATCGTTAGAATATATTAACGACATTAAACATCGCCAACCTAAGCCTTATTTTTCTGTTTCGACCCCCTGAACTTAGAGAATGTGAAATTGCGTCGCAATAACCCATTTACGCGACCAATCAATACGTCAACTATACCCAACGATTAATAATCCCTGAAATAGTAACGGCAAAAAAACCTCCTCCGAGCTTTCTCCTCGTGCATTACGAAGCTTTTATGGAAAGGCCGCGAAGTTATATAAGCGGAAGCGAAATTCCGAAACTTTGGAACAATTTCGGCAGTTGCGTAATACGATTTGGGTGAATCAATACTCGGAGCGAGCTTTTTCCCTTCAGGAAGCCCCGGCACAGTCTCCGACGCTCAGAACGTGACCCTGCGCCTCTCCCTTACATTACGGCCGAAACTAACCTACGCAATTACGTTTGTAAAATGCGCATTAATTTGAATGGTCGCCGTCGCCGCCGCGGCCATATGATAATAAAAGATCGATGCGAGTGGCATTAATCATTCGTATTTTCGTGACGCCGGCGACGTGTATGACGCAGCGACCTCTTTTCAAAGGTGCAATTGAGAGGTTGTCGACAATTAATGCGGTTGTCATTTCTCTTGACAAAAATTCGCAAAACTACATCAGCTCTTTGTCTTCAGGATATATAAATCGATTCCTTCTTTCCCCCAAATAGTTGGAAAAGGTGACATTCTATCGCAAATATTCCCAAAATGCAAACTGAGCACAATTTTAAGTATCTACTTATACAGGATAGTTTGAAAAATAAAAAAGTAGGTATACGCTATGAATAGAATCGTGATTTACATCACAATGCGCATAAACCGTGATTTGCAAGATATGTTTAAGTTTACTGGTTCCATTAAAAATCCATTGCTGGGCAAAGATGGCTCACCCTGCATGATAATACCATACGAACCTACTTTTGTGTAACTTACAAATTACAATTCGAGTAATAAATGGTATACAAATTGTGTACATCCTGAACAAATAAAATTCGAAAAAAAAAAAATACATACATCATATTTACCAAGCGATGATGGAGGTTCCAAAGATATGGCCATTACCTGCAACAACAAAAAATTAACTTAAAATTTCGTAGAGATAGATTAATTATAAAATTGTCATTAACTAATAAATACCTAAATATTAATTAGTTTATGCTTCCAAAAGTTAATATATGCAGCAAGAATGTCGAAGAGACTAACTCAACAGCTTCCAACCTATCCCCATCACAAACAAATAGCCAACACAATGTCAGCTTCTATTCGTCCGCTGCGATTGTTTTCCACTCGAATTTCAAACAAAAGAATCTGCTTGTATCTTTCAAATAAGGCGCTTATAGACTATTTTACAAAATCGCACAGTGCTATTTCTGTAGGAAACTCACACTAACAGTCCCCATTCATTTTCAATATTAGCCCACCAATATCCCAAGATATTGCAGCAACGGCCATCAAAAACTTAAAAGGCCCTGCCGAGGGGTTGGCCACGGAGGAGATTTTTTGTCCCAAGGGAAGGCAATCTGAGAAGATTTGGGGAGATCCGGCGAGATTCGACGAGATCTGAGGAGATTCGAGGAGATCCGGGGAGACTCGAAGAAATCCAAGCGAACTGCAAAGCAATGTGTAAGGGTGTAAGCAACTTTGTGGACATATCCGACCCTCACTCGCACTTGGGACTACTCATCTTGCAGGTTGCAACGCATCTAGGAGGGGGCTCACCTCCGTTTTGTACGAGCACATACGTTCATTGCTTTTCATTTTTAGTTTAATCCGATTGGTTTGGCATCGCTGCCTCTTTTCCGAGCTCTTTTCGTTCTCGAGATAGACGAAGAACAAACAAACAAAACCATCACATAAAGGGAATTTTTTTTCCTTTGTAAAAATTCATCTCAGCAAGGGTTAGTGTAAGTGAAATTTTCATAAATTTCACTTACACTAACCCTTGCTGAAAGAAAATCTTAAACATTTTTATTTGCCTAAAAAACGTAAAAGACTCAAATATTTGACGGACCTATAAAAATGTTGCCTATGAGTTTATCGTGGTCAGAGACAAAAATTTCTACTTTGGACAAAAGTTAAAAAAAGTTAATTATGGGTAGTTATAGTGTAATTTTGCTTTTTTTTCTACGACCTCCCTGAAAATGAGGTCATAATTAGAAATTAATTTTATCTTTCATGATGTTCTAATTAAAGGTCTCAACGAAAAGAACAGGTTTTAACAAGTACCGCCCTTCTTTCTGATTCCTTATCAAACGAGTGGCTGGGGATAGTGAAACTCCTTCATGGTATTCTAATGAAATGTTTCAACGAAAAAAAAAAAATTTCGTAGTCTTCCTCGACTCCTTTTTGTGATCGAATATATTCCCTTATATCTCCAGAAGGGATTGTCGGAAGAGAGTACGCATATCTATTGGTGATGTCAAAGCTTTCAATGGCGCGTCGCAGGATTTTGAATGTATGCCAGGCGGCCTTAAAATGTTTATGTGTAAAGGGCCTCCTCCCCATTAATCATTTACCAACAAAGTAAACATCGATAGCTGCATGCTACCACAGATCTAATGTTTAGATCTGTGATGCTACTACCTTAAAACCCAACCATTTACCTCGCCATTTACTAAGCTATTTCGGTTTAAAAAAATGCGCTTCATATACACCCAAAACTCTTTAGCACAAAATGTATACGACTGCTACCAACCGCTTGCTGCCAGAAACGTTAGAGTGCATATTATTATCTGGACGCCTTCCTATTAAGATTATGCCGAAACGCAAGAGCTGATCAATGATCATGCTGCAAAAGAAGCGCTAAACATGGACCTACATGGATCTACCTACAGCCCCATACTGACCTACAAAACAAGTTAAAATAGCCGATCATCAAGTGGCAAAATACTTAGAGCATTTCTAACATCGTGCAATCGAATATTCAGCTTAAAATAATGACCACCAATCTACCCCCATTGACTAGAAAGAGGTAATAATAATTCGCAGGTTCAGGACTGGACACACTCGAATAACTCATGGATAATGTTTTGAAAATCAAGGTCCACCTTATATAAAAAAACATTGCACTACCAAAAAGTATCAACAAAGTACTAAGTTTTCTAAAAGAAATCAATCTGTCTAATGTATATAAGTCACTGCAAAACGCAACTAAATGTTTACAATTTTATTTTTGTTGCTTAAATGCGAATACCCCTAGTAGCCGCTGCTCGATGGCGCTCTAAAAATCGATTGACATTTTTAAAGCTGGTATCTGCTTGAAAATTCTATAATTTTAACTTACAGATAAAAATTAAGACAACTTTAAACAGAAAACTTCCCCTACCCACGATTAAAAGCGAGTCAGCAGAATTCTCAATTCATCGAAATTCTTACTTCAACTCAGTTTTCAAAATATAGGCCCAAAGGACAGACTTATGCATATAGTACCAACGGTAAATTTGCGAATAGAAAAAGCTAACATCAATCGGCAAAATATTTGCAGTTGAAAAATCTCCTCTACGCCTTTCCTCGTAAATCCTACAACCAATGAACTCATTTGAGCTTTCTAAGCTGATTAAAGGAGATACCGTTTTAATCACACTAATTTAAATATCATTGGCGGCTTTTATTCAATTCCACAATCCAGCCCCGAGCTAAATAAGTACAACAACATTATTTAGATTTAAAATCCTAAGAAAATTAATTAACTGCGAGGATGTTCGATTTATTTTTCGCCATATTTCACTTTCTACAGGAGAAAATGTAGAGATTAATAATTTTACATCGCTCACATAAACGCGATTAGCTTCATTAATATATCACATGAGAAAGCGGTGGAAAAAACAATGGGTAAACATTAGCGTAATTGTAGAAGTGAAAATCACGCAAACCAAAAAAAAAATGTTTCGATTATTAAAAGCCCTGGCTAATAAAAAATCCCATTACGTATTTGCGGAGTTGAAAACAGAGATGAATTTAGTTAATTAAAAAGTTGGTTGCTTTTGTTTGTAGTAATCACATCATTCACTAAGTATTCCATATTTATTAAATAGATAAAATTCCCCAAAGTCAAAGTGAGTTCAGGCGGACAGATGAACGGACAAAACTAGCACAATAGTGTTTTTGGTTCTGAATCAAAAGAACAAACGAAATTGTCGTTTGAGGTGATCAATCTAGCACTAAAAGCCCAAAATTGCGTTACCTTTTAAAAAATGAGACTTTTGAGATTAAATAAAGACCCTGTAGATACGGAATCTACTGTGCATTGCAAACTTATAAATAAACGCAATGCATAGGTATATCGATTATAATTTTATGCCGTGCAAACTCCGAAAACCGCCGCCCCCAATGATAATGTCAGATTAACTCCCTTCGGCAACCCTAATTTCGCAATAGGTGAACCTTTGCAATTAGTCGCGCAAAAAGGCGCAATAATTTAATTGTTACGCTTACGCTGTTATTACACACAATATATTACGGCAAAAACAATAGCAAATTAAATACGGATAGACTCGAAAATTATCACCTGCAGGTTGTATGTAAAATTAATTATAATAATTTGAGGATACTTGCTTTTACGTGGTCTACGTAGATCGAGTGCACGTAACGAAACCCTCGAGGCGATGTTTCTTTCACATCTGATAACAAAAAGCTTAAGATTTATGAAATTTCGAATTACTTTTACGCTTTTAAATTATAGAGTAATTACAATTCTACTTGTAAATAATTTTACAACTTCCAGCGCCGGAGGAGAGAAAATACATCAACTAATTTTACCGAAAATATCTCTTCAGAATTTGTGTTTGAAATAGGGGGAAAGTCACCCTTACCGACGCGACCCGCATGAACTGCAGGGTTCGCTACCCTAGCAGGGAGGAAAGTGAGAGTAGAAAGGGCTCTTTTGTTGCGAGATAACTTATATTGATGGACTGGCAGAGATATTTTACTGAAGGAATGGAAAAATTATTATTTTAGCTGTACTTTAATAAATACGTTGTTATTCCAAGTACCATCAATTTGATTTTAGAATTAGAATTAGTGACAGTTTAGTATCCGCAGTATTACGTAAAATATCCAAGTTGTACAGTTTGTAAAGGAGAAAACATCATCTTGATATCTCCTACTTGAAGTTAGATTCGAAATTGTAACTAAACCTTCTGTCACCCTCAATCGCGAAAATGGATAATTTTCTGTTTAAAATCTGAAACTTTCTCTCTAGTGTGTAAGCCTTGCGAAATTCGAAATTAACAGTATTGTAAAAGAAGAGACCATCTTTAAGAGCAGTACGTATCCAGCTGTAAATTTGGCAACATTTTAAGCAAATTCGATTGAAATTACAGCAGTAAATAAAAAGTCAAATAACCGCAATGTGGAGCCTATCGAGGGAGAGAATCCATTTGTAGGGGAATTTTTCGAAAGATGTGATGGTTTTGTCCGTTCGTCCGTCTGTCTGTTCCTCATCTAACTGCAGGAGAACAAAAAGAGACAGCGATGTCAAACCTTCGCCAATCAATTTCTACGAGTTCAAGGAATATTATTAAAAGTCATGTTTCCAATTGCGAGATGAGTGTAAAAAAATTGCTCTATTGAAAATCCTACGCGATTTGCCGTATCTTGTTGAACATTGAGAGGGTCGACAGATTAGACAAAAGCAAATTGCAACTCCATAATCTACCCTTAATCCTCGACAAAAAGCATAAAAGGTCATCCGCACCTACACTTATTAGGGTAAATATTCGCCCATATCAACTTTAACCCTCGCTTTAACCTTATTGTCATGTCATTAATAAAATTAAATTTATGTAGACCAAAACCTCTTTTACTCCCCACAACAAACAATCATATCCCATTATCTAGATTTTTGAATATTGAAAAACAATTCAGTTCAAAAGGAAATGCAATTGATCCATCAAATTGCGCAACTTTGCTCTGCATTTATAACTTTTGTCGCTGAATTCGAGTTTAAAAATCCAAGGTGAATTTTGGTGATTAGCGGTACGGATTTATGGTCGTTGTCGGGGATTAAAGTGGGGTAGAGCAATAAATTGAATTGGTTTTTGTCTACATTGTCTCATATTATC